GCTTAAGCTTATATTGAAACCGGCCATTTTACTTAAATTCACTCATTTTCAATTGTGCATTGAGAACAAACAGTTAAGATTACTTATAGTTCTTGGATTACTTCTTATCCTTACCGTCATTTATGTTTTTAACAAACGTTTTCACTAAAAAGCTGATACTTCGTTTTCGCTGTCATTTTGCCGTAAGTGTGTAGCGGCAAATTTCAGCATTTTTGAAAGATTTAAAATAAAAAGGCCGCCAAAATGATGAATGTCTCAGTATGTATATAATAAACACAATACCACATGGAAAGTGCTTTGTACGGTATTTACGCACTCGTTGATTTTGTATCAGAAATCTTACTCGTTCGCTGCGCTCACTCGTTCGATTTCTGATACGTCAACAACTCGTGCGTAAATACCGTACGCCAGCACTTTCCATGAAGTATTCTCCACATATAAAGTATCAATAAAATAATTTTAACCTGAAAACAAAAAACAGACTGGCGACAGGAGTCAAAAGTGTTGATAAACGCTCCAGAATCATCACCAAGGTCATCTTTAATGGCCTGTAAACTCAGAAACCCCACAATACTGCGCTTGGAGACAAAAACACAACTTACATAGGTCAGGAACTCTTTCTCGTTTTTGAAAAATTAAATCTCATAATTTAAATAAACACTACTTTCCGCAGGTGCCTTGCGAGTCAGCCGCGAAGAGCAAGGCAAATAAACCAGTTAATCCAACAATAAAGCTCTCGAATTGTAACGTGTAATACGATTAACTCGAGGGTATCTTTTTGTGTCAATTTTTGGACTTGAGAGGTGTTTGAATACAGTTTAAGTCTACAAAATTGCCGAAGGAATATGTTACACCCATACTCCGTTTATAGCCAGTTAGGCTGACGCAAAAATTCTACAGGAGCCTTCCCCTGAAAACAATACCTTCAAGAAAAAGTCAGAATCAAAACAATGGCTTTTATAAAATAGGTGGAAAATATCTCAGAATTGGGAACGGAACGCTTAGGCTAGTGACTCGGCGATTTGAACATTTTTACTTCGAACCTGGACAACGACATTGAAGAGAAAGTTCCTGTTCCTGAGAAAGTTGCATATTCCAACTATAAGTGCAGATTCAAACATTTCAACTAAACTACACTGTACGTGCCTCGATTGCCGAAGCTATTCGGGTGTAAGTTTTTCGTTGGTAAATAATAATTGCTTCATTTGCTCCTCAGAGGTAAGTATAAGGAAACTATTTCCCAAGTCAGTTGTTATGTGGAAGTATATCTACCTCACTTGAAATTATCCCAGCAACAAAATACTTATAGTGTAAATCTTTTATTAACACTTTTTTTTTACTTTCCATGGAACTCTGCAAGATAATCTTACTTAATAAGAGAAAAATTCAGGAAAAATGTCTGGACAGATCATATTACTGAAGACAGTACAAGAAGCACTGGGCAAGGAAAAAAAAAAACAAACTAAACAA